GGGAAAGGAGGCAATGTATACTCATCATTCCACCACTTAAACCATGGTCTGGCCCAATTGCTTCTCCATTTTTAATTGTGCAATATATTATATATTATCTCTTGCTAAGAGTATGTATATGCAAACAAGTAGAGTGGAAAAACTTCTTTTATAAAACCATTTATTGGACTGGGGTGTGATTCAAGTAGAGAAGTAGAGGTCAATCCCCAGTATTTTTTAAAACCCTAACTTAGATACATTTTGTAACCAACATATTCTTCTTCCCAGTTTACTCTAGTGTGTTTTACATAGATACTTGTACATTTAGTGATCTCCTTCTGTTTATATTAGTTCCATAGAACTTAGAATAGTGACAGTCTCTCTCTGTCTGTCTCTCTGTCTCTGTCTCTCCCTCTTTTAGTGTACTAGTCCTGGTACAGGAACTCAGGACCTAGGTACTGTCCATGCGGTTTTGTGCTCAAGGCTAGCACTCTAACACTAGAGCCACTTCCAGCTTTTTGGTGGTTAATTGGAGATAAAGAGTCTCATGAGGTCTCATGGGCTTTTCTGACCTAACTGGCTTCAAACCTCTATCTTCAGATCTCAGCCACCTGAGTAACTAGGATTACAAGAGTGAGCCACCTACATCCAGTGAAATGATATTTATCTTTTTTTAATTAAAAAATTAGCATATATGAATTGTACATTGAGGGTTTCATTGTGACATTTCCATACAATCTATCCCAATCATTCTCCTTCCCTTTACCTCCCCCACTTCCTAAAACCAATTCCAACAGGTTTCATTGTTCAGTTTTTATACTACTTTTTAAAGTTGCATTTTTACCATGAACAGGTGAATCTTCATCAGCAAACAGATTTGGTTCTATTTCTTTCAAGGAACTTCTACCTTCAAGGCGGGCAAGAAGCTTACAAAAGAAAAAAGAAGAAAACTCATTACTTAAAAAGTCTAAAATTCTACAATTATCTAACTTTCTAAAATCCCATATGAAAAACTTTGAAATTTTGAAGATTTGAAGGAATATACAGAATGGGAAATGTGACTTAGAAGAAATACTGTGTTCATCTATATTTATGTTATTTCATTTTTTTGCTGGGCACTGGTGGCTCACGCCTGTAATCCTAGCTACCCAGGAGGCTGAGATCTGAGGACTGTGGTTCAAAGTCAGCCTTGGCAGGAAAGTTCATGAGACTCTCATCTCCAAGTAATCACAGAAAAAGCCAGAAGTGGTGCTATAGGTCGGTCAAGTGGCAGAATACTAGCCTTGAGCGAAAGGAGATTAGGGACAGCTCCCTGACCCAGACTTCAGGGTCCAGGACTGGCAAAAAAAAAAAAAGGTAAAAAAAATAACTTTTTGTAAATGTACCCAAAACTGTTGGTATAAAATGTCTGTGTCCTTAAAGGAATAGTCAATTTTAAAATCTAAAGCCAAACTGTTCATTGAAAACTATTCATTTTAATTTACCTTATAATTAAATTTCTTCCTGTGCTTATAACACTTATTATATAGTTATTTGTTTTAATTTATCCCATTTTATGTAGGAAAGGAAAACAGAATAAGAAAACCTATTGAGGATGTTATTGAGGGGTAGGGGAACAGACAGTGTAATAGAGGAGATGAAATTGGTTAAAACAGAGTGGAATGCATGTGGAAATGTAACAATGAAATCCTGCCCTGTATAACTAATATAACCCAATTTTAAAAAGCACATATTCAAATTCCACAAAATAACTAACTCAAGAAGTTACTCCAACTGTTTACTATTATGGCTCAAAACATGGCACAACTCTCCCCCATATTTCCTTATTGTATGGTATTCAAATCAGTATCATAATTTTTTTGACATTGCTCCTCATAGTTATCTACTTTATTCAGCCAACTCACACGTAACTTTCCACTATTACTAAAAAAAAGAAAAAGAAAAAACTAATCAAGGCTAGGCTGGGCACAGGAGCTCATACCTATAATCCTGGCGACTCAAAAAGCTGAGATCTGAGGATGGCAGTTAGAAGCTAGCCCAGGAGGGGCTGGGAAGGTGGCTCAGTGGTAGAGCACTTGCCTTGCATGCCTGAGGCCCTGGGTTCGATTCCTCAGCACCACAGAAGCAAAAAGAAAAAAG